CGTGTTACTGAACACTTGGGACAAATAATAATGAAAACAGGGACAGGAGTGGAGGTCAAAGGTTCAAAACAAGCATGCCAAGTGGAGACACTAAGCAGAGCACACTGGACAGCACCCACTGACCCTCAAATGAGTCCAAGGAGCCAGTGGACACTGCCCAGTGATCATCTGCTCAGAGACGGGAATAAAGTAGGGCAAGGAAAGTGGCCCTGCAGTTCTGGCCAGAGCCTCCTTCCATGTCAGAAACATGTCCAGCTTGGCCAGGTCCAGAAGGTTGTCCAGTCGGTCCCAGATTTTTGCCAGACAGGAAACTTGAGATGCTCACAGCAAATGGGAGCTATGAGCTCTCGGCATCTTTGAATGAAGTTATTCTCTTTGAGTAAGTAAACAGGGATTTCAGACCATGGTTTATGTGCCTCTGTTTTGGTTACAACTTTTATTGCCTGGTAAATTAAGAAATCTGAACACAGACCTTTTCAATACAATATGAGTTTGAGTTCCACTTATTTCTTGGCTGATTCTGGGCTTAATAGTTCCTTGGAAACTAATAGTGTTATTCCTGAGTGGATCATTCAGAGTTTGCTGTCCTGTTATTGGTTTTAATGGTGATGGTCTATGGGTAGCACTCCTAGGTGCTAAACTTGATATGACCCTACTAATACTAAACAAACCCTGCCTATTTTGCTTGATGCTGAAAATCCAAGGGTAAGCATGAGGGTTACATTTGCCAGAAGACCTAGGGTGCAGCAATTTTTAGATGCCTTGTCACCTGTGGGGAGCCCACAGCCCCAACCTGGCACCCAGCTCCCCAAATAATGTGTGGGGAAAGGGATACACACACAATGTGATCCGGCAAAGCTAGTAGACTGAACAGTGAAGTAGGCAGCAGGAAATGCCAAAGCAAAGGGTGGGGAGGGGCTATAAGTCAGTCTGTTAAACTCCACCCCTCTTCCAGAGTTGGGTGCCTCACTCTATTAAAGAATCACAGCCATGAATGCTTTACAGCAAGGGTGGGCAATTATTTTGGCTGGAGGGCTGCTTAATGAGTTTTGGTGAGCTGTCAGGGCCACAAGGGTAGCCCCAGCCCTTGACAGGTGCCCTGCCCCAAGTCACCATCTCGAGACCAGAAGTTCTGTCCCTAACCCCTGACCTTTGCCAGTGGAAGTCCCTCTCCTTGCCCCCAGAGGTACTCCTGGGGTGGGGGGCACAGACAAATCATATACTAAACGTCAATAATTTACTATAACATATTTTAACTTTATTTAAAACATATTTCACGATTTGCGTTTGCATTCTGTATATAGAGGTGATAGTATAATAGTTCAAAAATGAAGTCTTATTCTTGTATATTGTATGTGGGGAATATGCGCTCAGTGGGGGGTGTGTGGGGTTTGTGAGGGGGTGTGACTGTGTGTGTGGTGGAGTGTAGGGTATGTTGTGGGTGTGTATACATGGGGGGTTGTGGGGTCAGGGTGTGTGGGGTAGGTGGGAAGGTGGGAATACCTTCCCCCCGCACTCCCCTCCCCCATGGTGCACAGCTCCTGTCCGTAGCAGCAGCAGGCTCTCAAGGTGCTCATGGCCTGCACAGGTGCTGCTGCCCAACCTGCCTCCATCACATGAGGCTCCCCACAGCAAATGTGCAGCTCCTGGCATGTGCACACTATCGGAGGAAAGTCCCATGTGATGGAGCTGGCTGCCTTTCCCGCCACATGTGGCTAATGGGGTTTCCTCGGG